AAAATTAAAGTGAAAACAGAGAATATAAAATAAAATGTAATTCAAAACATTAACTAAAATGAAATATATATATATATATATATATATAAAACACAAAATGACTAACTAAATTTAAGTGAACAAAAACTATAATAATATAATCAATGATACTAAAATAACACTATTTTACATTAAAAATAACTAAAACTAATAAATACAATTAGTAAATGATATATAGACATATTTAAAAAAACAAAAAATTACAAAAACATTACTTACACTTAAGTAAAATTAAAGTGAAAAAAGACAATCTAATTCAAAACATTAACAAAAACTAAGAGTATATCAACAATGCTAAACTAACACTGTATCATATACAGGAAAGTTATTTCAGAGGTGAAACAAGTTAATACATATTAAAGATTTCAAATAAAACACATTTTAAATCTACGTGCACTGAATCGTCCACAATAGGACCAGAAATCTGTATTTAGAAAGCAAACAAGCTTTGAAATTTTTATTTTATGTAGACTTTAAAGGCAAACACCTCTACGGGCGAGAGAAAGGCTGCAGGACTTCCTGAGCTCAAGGTGACCGTTTCACTCCACAGGAACAAAATGCAAAAAAAAAAACACCCAACTTTCCTCTCTCACACCGGGACAGTTCAGCGCGATTAAACCCCTCCTCATGTGCGGTTCACATATCAGCCCCCATTTCTCTGTTTTTCTTTCCCTTTCTCCTGAACGGCTGTATATTTCATCCCCTCCTCTCTGTTTAATGCACACATACATACACAAACACCCCATCAAATCTGGGGCTAAAACACACAGACTTTAATCTCAGAGTTATTACTTACTCCACAGGGGTCTGCCGTCCTGTAACACCTGCCTAGTTTATATTCTCCACCACACGGGTGATTTCTTTCCTATTTGCTTTAGAAAAGCCATTCTGCTAGAATGTACGACTTACTTAAGCTTTAATTAGCCTGATGATAAATTATAGAGATTAAGCAAACTGTACAGATAGTAAATTAGGACGATTAGATGAAAAGCACATCTTTGATACCCATAAACAGCCCAGAGTCACAAAACCCATAAATACTATCTGTATGCAGGCAATGGCATGATTTATGATTCATAACTCACTGCAAATTAATATTGTGGAATATATTAAATATGATGGTAAGTTCATGACTCGGGCAGTATAACAAAATATACTGCATGAGTTTGACAATAAACACTTTAACTACTAAATTACACAATAATGAAGAAATGATAGAGAAATGATCCCCTGCTAATGCATTTATTTTCTGAATACACATTTGTGGTCTTATTGTGCATGATTTATTGGTAAATATTATTGCAATGCAACACATAAACCACCTCTGTCTTGCTTCTGTTAGCACCCACTTTTCACCATCCAATCAATTTCTGATGGATAAAATCAAGTCTTGCATAACTGTAAATTTCCATAATATTCTGCATTCATTTAATAATGCATACATTATAGAAGTACAATGTGTTGCTAACTGTATTTCATGATAGATGCATGGCTCCAAGTCACACATTTAGAGAGAATATCTTATGATTACAGTAAAACTAGGTGGCGCTGCGATCTTTAGTCTGTTTCTTTCTTTCAAAATCACGAGTCGAGCTGTTTGGTGTTACTGCTGCTAGTCAGCATATGTACAGTCCTTCAACGCTGCAATGCAGTATCACACTTTATTTAACTTGAAAAGTGCAAATACTCAACCACACAATGCAACATTACAGTAACAAGCTGAAAATATCCTAGTGTTAGTGTTTAGATGCAAAGGCTTGTGTTCAATGTAATATACAACATTAATACCTGATTCTGAATATACTGTAAGTGAATATGAAGCCAAATGTAACTGTGGGATGAGAGCACCATCTAATGGTACAACACATTCCCCTTTCCACATCACCTAATAGCTGTATAACACTTACCTCACATTATAATTATACTAATATTATTATATTAGTATATAATAGTATTGTTAATAATATTAACTAACAGCTCTGCGAATATGTGCAGCAGAACTTATTTTGCAGTCTGATGGGATCATTTCTCCTCACCGCAGTACATGTGTTACAAAGTGTTTTTCAGACTGAATTAAATGCTACAAATCATTATCAGCTATTAGTTCTATTAGTACTAGGGCTGAAGAATATTGAGGAAAAAATCCAATAGATTTTTTTTTTTTTCTGATTAAAAATGCAACTGTGATTTAAAATGCATTTTAAAGCTTGTTTGTTGGGCTGCACAATTTGGCCAAAAAAGTTGCGATTATAAATCAATATGACTATAATAATATAATTATTATTATTATTATTAATAAAAAATAATAAGTATTACTATTATAATATTAAACTGTAAAAATCTAGCATTTAAGAAAAGTTTTCAAATAAGTTGTTGTTTAATCTTGCACAATTTGGTCAAAAAAGTTGCGATTATAAATCAATATCACTATAATAGCAATTATTATTATTATTAATAAAAATAATAAATATTATTATTGTAATATTTAACTGCAAAAAATCTAGTATTTAAGAAAAGTATGATCATAATAATAAATTTATTTTACAGTACACTTTTTTTTATATATATAAATTGCCGTTTAATCTGCACAATTTGGTCCAAAAAAGTTGATTATAAACCAATATGAATAATAATAATTTAGAATAAAAGAAATATTACTCTTGTAATATTTAACTGTATAAATCTAAGGAAAATAAACTGTACAAATTTAAGGAAAATATAATCATAATACTAATTTTACAATACTAATATTTATGCTTAATTTCTTAAACATTGGCATTTACTGCAAATCAAGTTGCTCTGAGACACTGAAAATACCAGATTATGAGTTGCTCATGTGTAAATGATCATCGTGCTGGGCTTTAATCTGAATAATGCAGGCACATGATGTATATTTAGTTATTTAAATCATAGCCTTATTTTGCGAATTCGCTTTTATTTCACTGAATCATGCAGCCCCTATACGATGAATTAGGTTGATAATATAACTAGAGGTCGACTGATTGATCGGCCGGCCGATTAATCGGCCGATTTTTGGCATTTTTAAATTAATCTGCATCGGCCGATTGTGCTGCAAATTAGGCCGATTTATAGGCAGGCGCATCTGCGGGCAGCTAAGCGTTGTTGCGGAACGCCGGAGAATCTCTCTCTGGCTGCATGAGAGACGGAGTCACGGAGCAACTCACACTCTGCAGCCGCTTCTGGTTCACACACAGCTTCAGCTAATGATGGCAGGGCAAAACAGACCGTTTCGAAAGCGTAATCACGTTTTACCCTACTAGAATTGATGCCGGAAAGTTATCATATTTATAAGTGCAACAAGTCATTTGTATGTGAAAGTAGAAACATATAATTCAGACGAAACTTCTGGGCTTACTATAACGTGCACGATAACTTTCCTCATGAAACAACTCTTTTATTTTTGTCATCACTTGGCCATTTGACTTATAGAAGTGTCCAGTGTTTCCCATACATTGAGTTATTTGTGGCGGCTCGTCACAACAGACGGACCGCCACAAATAGATTTTCCAAAGGCTTATACTTCGTTGAATAAACTGAGCACTGCACGTTTCAAAATTAAAATGCAGCGTGGGTGTTTTTATATGAATGTATTTTTTAAATGAACCGACCGTCTTCAGAAAAGCTTCTATGTCATTTTAATTTTTGCTTAAGTTTTGAGCCATGTATTATTACTCTGAATTAGGCTACTACTACTATTACTATCTTGTATCCTGCAATATCATTTACTCACTCACTTTTATGAGATGAAGGGGAAGAAGAAAAAAAAAGAATATCGGCCAAAGAAATCGGCATCATATATCGGCCATCGGCTGCCCTGATTTCTAAATATCGGCATCGGCCAGTGAAAAACCCATATCGGTCGACCTCTAAATATAACACTAGACAACACACAATATCTAGCAAAATGTGCAGCATTCAGCTGTATTTCAATTGCTTTTAGTATTTAATTTATATTACCTGCAATAAATCTAAAATAAATCTAAATAAACAAGAGTTTTGAGGGTAGGTCTATCCCACCTGTGGTCAGGGCTTCCTCTCGGTCGTGGTCCTCATCTGCTGGCTGCCGGATGTTCCAGGACGTGAGGGGCAGCGTCTTCACCTCCTCCATGTCCTTGAGTCGTAACATGTCCATACGACTGCTCTTGGTGAAGTATCTGGGAATGAAGCAGACTTTCCCCCTCTTGAAGATGTCCTGGAGGATGTCTTCTGTGCGCACCTCATCATGCATGTTCAGGAAGACAGCCACACGCTGGCTGGACAGGTATTTGGGATGCCTGAACAACTAGACAGAAGTTTGGATAGTTGTTAATAAACACAAAGCATACTTACAATTGCTCATAGTTTATTTGTATAAACTAGTTGTATATTGCTCAGTCTAGGACATGTAATTACATTATGTGTCTGTATTAACACACAACTTGATGACAAAAAATCACAATGACATCAACATGGAACAAATATATTGATATTTTTTAGCTGATCAGGAGTCGAAATGTAACCAAAGCACTTTCCACACACCTGCAAATGACAACCATTTTGGGATTAAGAGTATGAACACAAGCAACACGTGTGGTTTGAGGGTCAATAACCTCTAAAGCAGGGGTTTTCAATCTTTTAGATGCCACGGACTAATAAACATTATCATAAACATAATCATGCAGGGCCCACCCATCCTTAAATTTAAGAGGCATCTATACAGTTTCTTGTATAAAGACACAATTTATACTGTCAATAATAATAATAAAAATATGTAAATATTATTTGAAAAATATTTAGTTTGTATATTTATCCATTTACTAATTTTCCACTGTTTTTCTCTAATCATTTCCATGGTCCCCTCACAGAAATGCCGAAACAGAAAAAATAAGCAGGAGACCAGGATGTAAAGACACTTCAAAATAATGTGCAGAAAATATTCTGCCTTTTTTTATATCCAAGATCTTTAAAAGCAATGTGGGAGTAGAGAACGTGAAATTGGACGAATTTTTTTTTTAAATAATAACATTAAATCATTATACATGATAAAAGTTAATGTATTTGGGCATATGTGCTGTGATATAATAAACACGACGTATTAAGTGATTAAGAAATTATCTCTGTACCCTGAGACAGCAAAATAATATTTTCATGGGGGTTGTTAGGTTACTGAACAACTAAGTACCCAGCTAACGATTTTTGGTTCCCAGAACGTTCCCAAAAGCTGGCGTTCTAACGTTCCAGGAATGTTTTCTTTACGTAAATAGAACGTTCCCCTAAAGTTCGTAGGTTCCCAGAACCTCTTTACTCGGATATCATGTATGTGCTACAATCTAACTGCTGCCCCATTTTACAAGGCCACTGAAGGCTTGTTCCTTTCCGCTGACAGGTCAGTGACATTTACCTTTTGCGAGACAACTCGAGACTGTCTTAGTTTCTCCTGATCACTCACTGCAGCCACTCGACCCTTGATTTCTCTTCTCAAAGCTTGTTTTGCCGCACGCAGAGCTGCCATAATGAATCTGCACTGCACAAACCCAGTCAGACTGCAAACAGACGCTTAAACAACAGCCCGCTGTGATCATTGCAGCAGCTCAGTTAATGATTCACTCGTGAACATCAGTGGAATCTGCACGTGTGCGAGTGAGCTATTAACGCTGGATAGATTAGTCGTCCTGAGTGGGCGGAGTCAGTGTAAAAATGGATTAGCCTTCCTGAGTGGGCGGAGTCAGTGTAAAAATGGATTAGCCTTCCTGAGTGGGCGGAGTCAGTTCACATGCCCTTTAAAGAAAGGTAAACATTCCAGGCGAAAAGCCTTAAAGGGACAGTCTTTTGAAAACTCGTCAATCTGTTGCAAACTCGATTGACTTTCTTTTATTCCGTGGGACGCATCATGAGATTTTTAGGCAGATTTTAAGTTGCCACACAATGAAAGTGACTAATAATAACGGAAAACATCATTTTGCTTAACATTTTAGTATTAATAAAGTCATATGAGAGAATTTTCACATTTTATAACTCTTGTTTTGTTATTCAGATTAATGGTATGATTCGTTAACATAATCATAATACAAAGCTTTTATAGAGTTAATGGTTGCTTGTTATTTATTTCTAACAAAGTGCCTTTTGATTTTAGGTTAGCGTATTAAATATAGAAATAGGCTATTAAATGCAAGTAAAAATGTCTGCTTTAATAGTTCAAATTACTTTTGTGATAATAAAATGTTAAAATATGGGCAAAATAATGTACGTGTAACAGATATATTTATGTAAAAATGAAACAACATACTTATTCTTACCTGTACTTACTAAAATTTATAAAAGAAAACATATATAATATATTTTTATAAATAAAACATAAAAGACACTGTGCACTGTGATCCTTTTGTCCTCTTTTTAATGGCCACTGAGATTTAAAAATAAATATTTTAAAATTAAGTATCACATTTGCATGTTCTCGGTTCTCTGATGTTGATTAATGGTCACATGACATGCAAGTAAACAAATAAAATAGATTTTAGTAAGTGCTTTATTTTGATTGAGGTTATTTTAAAATGATTTATTTTAATGTGACATTTTTATGATTTAATTAATTATTAGCTTTTTATTAAACTCACAAACCCCCTGCAGTTCCTTTACAAACCTTGATGTAATGTGATGTTTAATGCACTTCATGTTGTTAATAACAATGAACGGAATATATTTTCTTACTCTTTGTATTTTTATATCAATATGGAACAAGATTATCCTATTTAAGTCAATGTGATAAATGAGTTAGGTCAAAAGTAATCTAAAAGTAATAGTCCTAAAACGTGTACCTAAAATGTGTAATGCATTACTACCATTTTTGTCATGTAATTTGGAATCAGTAACGGATTACAATTTGTAAGTAATCTACCAACCTCTGTGTGTGTCTCTCTCTCTTTTTCTCTCTCTCTCTATATATTTTTTTTAAGGTGACATATCATGAAAATCTGACTTTTCGAGGTTTTAAGTGCTATAATCAGGTACCAACCAAGGAAACGTGAAAACGATTAACCCAGTA